GCAAAATGTCTAGTCGGGATTCAAGTAAAACAGACAAAGCTTCACTACCGTGGTTCTAAGCTAATGAAAGGATTTGCTGGGGGGAGAGAGCATGTCAGCTGAATGATGAAAACTGTAATGTTTAATTTCACCTATTCCTTTAAGGAATGAAGGATGATCTTAGGTTCTCCATTGACAGAGAACCATAAGATGGCTTACAAACCAAAAATACCAATCTACAGATATCTCCAAAGACACTGAAATATGAAATGACACCTCTTCATAATCTCCTGTGCACTGAGTGAAAATATCTTTGCCTAACAGGAAAATGGGGTATACAATGTTACTAAGTGCTGAGGCTTTATATAGAAGCTAAATCAGATTCACAATTTCCAGGTACTGTTCTCAAACTACATCCACCTGCAAAAAAAGAAAATGTTAAAAAATGATCAATTATTAGATTTAAATCTTATAATATGCTCTATGTTATAATAACTGAGAATCTAAATGTTTGAAGGTCTCTGTGGACAGTTGCACAGAGCTACTGAACTTTTCCAATGTGAAATTTTGTACTTTAAAGGGGTATTGAATGGAAAGCCAGGTAATTTCTAAGTCTAATGGTTCATTATAGCTCTTTGTTGACTCAATTTTAAATGTCTCTTTCATTAGTTTAACAGTAAAAGATTAAATTTAATGACTGTGCTTATTAATAAAAGACTGCTGAGCCCTAAACCAATCCATTTCATACTATTTTACTATGTACCACTGTAATGATATAGACGTTTTAAATGCCTGGTAAAGAATAGTAGCTGAACTGAACCAGACAGCCTACATGCAGCAGATCTATACTCTAGGGAGAAATGGTTGACGACAGGCAGACCAGAAACAAAGAGAACTGTAGTTTGCGTTAAAGCCAACTAATGGGTAAAGTATATTTAGAATCTCAACTGGAGGGATGACCAAGTGCCCTTAATGTAACAAAAAGTGCTGAGGGGATTGATATACTGCCAAAAGCATTAGTCTGTGTGTAGGTCACACCAGAGCTTTATGGATGGTCCTGCTGTAAACGAAGAGACCAGTTATAGCTTGCTAACTCTCTGTGTTGAAAGTAGAAAGCCAGGAAAAAAAGTTGGATGCATTTTGCCAAGTGTATTGTAACCCTCAAATTCTCCCTTTAATATAAATAATCTCTCAAAGCTGTAAATTTTGACTAGTGTCTCAGGCCAGAAAGATTACCTTTTTTTTTTAATTCCTAAGGTTTATAGTGGAATATATTAAGATCTCTCAACTGGCTTAGATGAAATCTGAGAAGCAGCATTTTATTTTCCTTTAGTTTGGGGTTTTTTTTGGCTTTTTACATTTTTGTCTGAGTTCTCAATCTTGCAATCTTAATATTGTATTATTGGTCAGTACAGCTGGAATGCTAAAGGCAGCTATAGAGAGATGCTATTTTGAAAACAGTCACAGCACTTTGTAATATAGAACTGAATGGACCTTTAGAATTCCTGGTTGAATAAATAAAAATATTTACTTTGAGAAAAGGATTGAGAGAGCTTAGAGGAGGTGATTTTTCTATTTTTTTTATTTAAGCTATTTTCTACGAAATAAAAACTAAAAATTATTACAGGCTTCAAAGAATAAGTGGGAGAATTGGAGTCTCTCCAGCAGAGAAGGAAATATTTGCCAGCTACCAGAAGGACTAATATTCTTCAAATGTTTGAGAAAATAGGATCAAGATCAATTCTTTATTCTACTTTCCACCAGCCTTGTCTGTTTAGATGATGGGAAGGCTTCAAGGAGGTTATCCCATGCAATGGAAAAAAACTGTTGGTCCAAACACTGTAATGTTGCAGCAAAGTGAAAGTTAGCATAAATGTAATGCAACTTCTTTGACCAAATGCTGTGGCTTCTGAAACACTGGAGAAGCTTCATTTAAAGATGAAGATTCCAATAACTCTGATAACGTGCTTGTGACCTCTGAAGTGCTGTGATGATGCTGAAAACACTTTCCTCAGAATTAAATTACAATAGATAAAACAATGAGTTTCTTATGTAGATGTGTTTTTTACTTACAATTCTGTTATGTTTTGATTCTGCAGCTTCTCATTTGAATGTAACTAAAATTGAAAAATGCAATTATTATACAATGCCTATATGTATCCTTCTGCAAGTGAAAGATTATTCACTCTGCTATTTTATTTATTTAAATAAACATATTCTAACCTTTATTCTATTACTTTCAAGTTTATTTCTATTCACAGTACCTCACTTTTCTAACAAATAACTTCAATTTCTTATGATTTTTCAAATATGACTGCACTCATTATCTCTTGATTAGTTAGTAGATGATCCAGCTACAACTATTTACTAAGTCATAATAGAATCTATTTCTGAATCTGTGCAACTACATCAGTGCTATGTAATTTCACAGATGCATTGAAATAGTCTTTGACTTGAGTAGAGGTTATGTAAATAAAAGTTTACTTTAAAATGAGGAATCTCTTTTCTTGCCAGCCAAAACCTTCCAGTCCCCAAATTATGTATGATATAAAGCATCATAAATGCAATGTTTTTTTCTGCTGAGAATGATAGAAGCTATTACTAAAGATACTCCCCTCAGAGTGAGTCTTTCCTAACTACTTTGAATATAAGAATGCTAGATTTACTGTGGTGAACAAAGATGACATTTTAAGAAGGTTAATGTGAAGAAATTAAAGACTGTGGACTACAAGTCTAGTTTTACACTACAGTTATTAAAATACTCACAACTATTTCTGCAAATGAAGTGTCAGTTATAGCTAAATAAACAAATATTTAGGCTTAGACACCTCAGACTTTAAATCAAACAACATCCCGTGAGGAATTTGTGACTTCTAAAGACTATTACTTTAATCTTTCCTCATTATTTTGTCCCTTCTGACCTTTGTATGACACAAATTTTCAGGGCAAAAAATAGTTTACCATGCATTTGGTGACTGAAGAACTTCTAGCCATCATTTCAGCAATCCCATTATCTGTTTAGACATTTTTAATTAGATAATTAAGCTATGTTTTCTGTACACACTAACTCTAATAACTATGACTGAAACTATCATCTTCACCCCAACTGTAAAGTCACTGAAGCCCTTGATTGGCACAGTCATTGCTCTGTAACCTCTGAAAGCAATTTTGCAGCAAGCACTCCCCACTGCTACTATTCTCTGCCTTTGTGGAGAGACTATGCAATGTACATATTGCATTTACCATCCCTTTGCTTGCCCTTTCATAATGCACATCTCCATTCTAAGCAGCTGCCAGTGGTTCATCCACTACTTTATGTGTGTCCATCCACCTTGCAATTCTCTTCTTCCTTGATTTGGGTCTCAAAGGGATTCCTTTCTGCAGATTATAGCAGAGATTTGCATATGTCTAAGAATAAAACCACTGCCAAATACGCAAACTGCAAACAGGTGCCAAGATGTCTTGCTCTTTCCCAGGATAAGGGAGAGGTTCCCAGTGCAGCAATGAAAGATCATTACACACACACAAAAAAGTGTGATCTGTTGACAGAAACTACAGTTTGAGTGCCATCAAACGTACCTTATTCCCTTTCCTTCCCAGCCTCTTTCACATGACTGGTGTTCAGGATTTTATTTTCAAATAAATATTTGGCATTTGTATCCAAAAAAGACAAATATGCAGAGAAAATTTTGCCTAAGTGAACACTCATATTCAAAATTCTGTGGCTAGATGAATGGATAAGTGACAACAGTGATGAACAAATAGTGCTTGGGCCTGCCAAACCCCAGTATTAGAAAGTATAAACAAAGCAGTACTGCAAACAGATGGATTCATTTTAAGTTTTATCCCTTTTCGGTCAAGAGATGCTAATGAGGCAACTTCACTTTGTACCATGACCCCGACACATTGTGTGCTAACACTAGCAAGGCGCAGGACTGACACGGGGTCTGACTGCCAGCACACAGCTGCCTCTCCACAGAACTAAGTGATTATTACCAAAACAACAAAAAAGTACGAATCTTCCTGCTGAATAATGACACAAAGAAATTGCAATAGGCATTATGTAATTCCAGTAATTAGGTATTTGTGAGTATTTGAACTGGATTCATTGCAGAAAGCTAAAACATGGGAATTTGATTTCTTGGGGAGTGGAAAGAGAAAAGGTGGAGGGTTGCTGAGATGAACTGAAACCTGGTGAGATTTTATAGGCATGGGAACCACTCTATCAAATCAGACCCGTGGCCTGTTTAATTTGATGATGGCCAAAACCCGACAGGCACTGGAGGCAGGTGTAGTCTTTTCAGCAATTGGCAGCAGTACTATATGGCAACCTTTTCCTGAAGAAACTTCCTGCAGAAATCATTCTTCTAATGGCTCCTTTTAGAAACCAAGTAACAAAAATTGTTACGGAAAATATAGGTTACAGGCATTTCAATTTCCAACTGATTAAACCAAATTTTAAATATAACCAAGTTATGCCTGAAATAAAGTTCCAGATTTGAAAATTATGTATATTTTGCAAGCTCTAGTCCAAATACCCAAATTATAATAATGTGTCTGGACAAAAAGCCAAGGAATAAACCTATCTACTTGCCTGCACATATAGATTTGGATACTGTTCCTAGAAGCAAATTATAAGAGAAATAACATCTCTCAGTGACAGTCGCTTATTCCGAAAGTTCACAGAAGAACTTTCTAGCAGTGGGTCCTGTGGTCATAACCCTTCCCAGAGATGCTGCTGCTCCTCTGCTTTTACACTTCTCCCTGTGTTGCACCTCACCAGCTGTGTCTCCTCCTCCCCTGTGCCTTTAATGCTGTTTCCTTTTGAATGGAGAGGTGTTCACCTGCTTTGCTCTACAGCTTTCTGCTTGTGTCACTTGCTCAAACAGAATCATTTAATATTGGTTTGTCTTTTTAAATTGTATTATTTGAAGCAACGTATCCTGCCTGTGCTGCTAACAAATTAAATACCTTCTGACAGAGCTATGTAAAGTCACTTTTCACACATATTTTCCTTTCAGGCATTGTGAAAACCTCTTCTGGCCTTTGATCCTGTTCTGCGAAGCTCACATGTGACCACGTATATTTACAGCCTTCACAGCCAGCACTGGTGGGATCTGTGTCAGGACATCTGTGAGCTGGAATGTCTCACCAGTTCAAATAACTATTTTATAGCTACATGAGAGGTAAAGGAAATATATAGCTGTAGAAAGATTATTTCAAAGAGAAGCCAAGAAAAACCAAGCTTGTGACGACTTAGCCAGCAGGGAAATCAAATCATAAAACGAAAGTGAAAACAAAACCCATGACACACTTTTCCACTTTTTGTGTGTTATAACTCACCTTCAATACACTCAGTTATCTTACAAGGGTTGTTGTAAAATAAGACATTCATATATTTATACCTGCGGTATATCTTCCCTACAATAATTTTGTATTAGTTACTGCTGAACAAAGAATTAACCCTAATTCTTTGATTGCACTACAGCAAGAGGCCTAATGGCTTTTTCTGTGTTTAGACATATTTGCTGAAATTTGTTGAATAATATAATAAAGATGCTGCCTTCTGCTGACATTTCTTAGGTTATCATTCACCTAGCTGATTGGAACAAATTCCTGAAAGAGTTCTGATATTCTAGATCATATTTTTTCCTCATGCTACAGGGGAAAACCATGTTTATTATTACTCATTCCACTGAAATTTTGCAATCAAAACTGTATCACAAGCACATTTTCCACCCTTCCCTATTCATGAGACATTTCTGTGTAGTCACTTGGAGAATGGCATCATGCTTGTACCAAGCAAATTGTGTTATATATAAAAATATAAAAATTGTTGTTTTCATATATATATATATGCATATAATTTGTTGACCAACAGTGGGCATTTCAGGAGGTTGCAAAAGAGCCATATACCATATTCATCACCACATCTGGTAGGTTTTCTTGATTGCTGTTACAATTTTGTTGAATTAGGTGGCCCATTGATTTTCCTTTAGCAAGAAGATTAGTCATGTAAGGCAAGCAATTACAAGGTCTCCTGGGATGGTTCAACCACAGGGAATATTCCTAATTTAAAGAAGCTATAACTGCCAGTATATATCTTTTTTTGTTTGTTTTTTTTTTGTTTTTTTCCTAAACCTTCTGACTTTGGCTATCAAATGCAATAATAAATTGTATTCCCTGTTGTTCTTGTTCAGGGACTATGCCTAATCCTGGAATTACTGGCATCTGTACGCCATTTCAATGGTAAATTAGAGCTGGGATATGCTAACCCCAAAGTGTAAGAACTCTTTCTAAATGATTGGAAGCTTCTTGGCACTTTATAGTTGATTTATAGTAATAATTAGCTTAGTCTTCATTCTCTTTTGATAGTTTGCATAAAATTTGTGCTATTTTCTTATCACCAGAGCCGATTGTATTCTCAACAAAAGAATGGTCTTTCTGGTGAAAATTCAAATTCAACTAAACTCATTTTATGTTGTTTTCCCTCACTGACAACTTCCTTTCCTTCTTCCCCAACCCCCCATTATTTTAGAGGAATGATGGAAACCTGGAGTACCAATTTTTCATTAACATTTCCATGCGGAAATCCTTCCAGTGGTTTAAGATTATAAAATGTCAAAAAAAAAAAGAGGTGTTTCTTCTTATGCCACTTACTCTATTTTGTTTATATATTCTCCTTTAATGACCTTTAACTGTTTATTAGGAGTTTTCCCAACAAATTCTTTTGCAAGAGACAAAACAGTCTTTGACTTCAAACTAAAAGTCTGTACACTCTCTAGAGAGAGTAGCAGAACAATGCACATTATTAAATGTGAAGTATCATTATTTCTCTAATTATAGGTAAATTTAGTTCACAGTTCCTCTTTCCCTTTGTTCAGTTATTTTGTAGAAGTTTTTTTCCTATACTTCCAAATACTTTGAAAGGTCCAATTACATGTAATGCTTAAGAATATGTGTCAGTGTAAGGATGCTAGTAATACTGTCTCTGCCCAGAAAAATCCATTTTGTATGTGCTCAATTCTCATATTAGCTAAGTGTTTTCTTATTCTGTACATGCCTGTCTATAACAGAGAAAACTTAATTCAGTAGGCCTAAGCACTTTTGTGGAGTCCCAATTTTAGCAAAGATCTATCTCTACATTATACTGCATGTATTTTATTTTTCTAAAACATATCAGAAATAACTATCACTTTCCTAGCTCTGGTGGTTATTCTGTGTTTAGTTGCCTTTAATTTCAACAGCTAATCACTCTCTCAGAATAACAAATTCTGTAATTTTACAGGATTTTTATTATTAAGAGCATCCCTCCCTTCTGTATTGTAAGCTTAAACATTAAATGTAAACCGTTTCAAAATCAACTTCTGGTTGTTTCTAGAAAGATCCCTTAGTGCCATGTGGAGTTCTTATGAATGGTGAACATGGGAAAAGAGTTTAATTAAAATACTCTTTCTTAATCTGAGAGATGAACTTCAGAACAGTCTTTGAGAACTTCCCAGAGATAAAATTTTCATAGGCAGCATTCAACTTGAATTTCCTCTTAAAAGAAACATTAAAGGGCTACTGAATTTAAAACGCATATAGAGTGACACAGAGTTTCATAACTTAGCAGGATAATTCTGTTCTAATATAGAAGAAAACAACTGCCCAACTTCTTCATCTTGTTGAAGCAGCAATAAAATTCTTAACCTCTTCACATCCTCCAAATACTCAGAAACTTTAATGCAAATTACGCTAATCAGTATGTCAAACAAATAGCACCAATTTTGAAAGCAAGCTTTAATAATGTGAAAGATATGGTATAGCCAAATCTGATCACACGGATCATAAATTCATAGCTTGTCCATCCTAAAAAAAGCTGAGGTTTAAATCAGAAATATGGATAATGCAAACCATTAGTGTTTGTTCTGTTTTGTCAAAGTCTAAATATCCTTGTCACTCCATTTTCACTGAGGTCCCAGTTTATGCTTACTGAAATTGTAGCTGGAATGAGTTTATATGTATAATCTACCAAGGCACACATATATTTGTATATATGTGTATATACACATACGTACATCTATGTATACGTAGGCATGTAAATATTTTTATCTTGATCCAGTCAAGTGTGCAGTTCAGAAAGCCTGCCCATATGCATTTGCAAGACAGGGAACTAAGCATTGAAAGAATATGTTAAAAATTGAATGGCCTATATGATTTTTAGTTTATGATAGATTGGATTTTGGCCAGTGTCTTCAAAAGCATTTGGTTTACATAAAATATTAAGAGGCAAAATGGCAACAGTGGCCATGTGTCTCAAAATCTTATTTATTTTTAAGTAGCCAGGAGTGATATCTTTCCTCCTTCTTCCCTCAATATTTCATTTTCAAAACTCATTCTAAAATACTGCCAAAGTGTTCTTATGTGAAGATACATATCTTCACATTATATCACTATTGTGTGTAAGCTCATTTTATTATTACTATTCACATGAATTTGTATGTGCATATCTGTAGTCAGCTACTTACCAAATATGAAAATTAAATAATGCTGCAATATTGCATTTAAATGACAAATATTCCTATTATGCACTGTTAGTGAATGATAAGAACAGGTTTTAAAAGTATCAGGTCATATATTATTTGGTGTTCCAGTTACATCTATTTAACAAAGGCAAGATGTAGCACTTCCATATTTTTAAGGCAATTATTCTCTTAATGGATGTATTTGCCCTGAATAAGGTAATTTGTCAAACATTTTCAGAATCAAAACTCTTATCTTGGTGGGGGGGAAATTTAGACACTGGATAAAAATTCCTTCCCTTTAATAAAGAAGGTATTAATTTATAAGTAGTCTGATGAAAAAATCTCTTGGGGATGTATGCTCCAAATATTGTGCTTAGAAATCTTTTCTTCATGCAAAGTGCAGGATAAATGGATTGTATTTTCTGAAAGTAGTGCTGCTTTGGAGCCTGGAACTCTATTTGTTAATTTTCAGAGTTTTCCTTTTTGCTTTTGCGTATGGAAGAAAAACAAGACCTTGAATATCACCACAGCTGTAATTGTTCTCCAGGAGTATCTATATTTCAGTTCCTAAATGATGTTACCTAAGAAATATTAGCTGAGAACCTATACGGGTGTGTCCTCTTCAGTATACTCTATCATGTGAATCTTTTCTCCTTTTTTTTTCTTTTTGTTTGTTTGCTTTCCCTCCCTTTTTTCCACCTCCTGGATCTTCAGTTTAAGTTGATGAAGCACCGTAAATCCCACTTTGTGTTTTAAGACACTAAGCTAGACAAGTAATTTTAGTAAGATAAAGCCAAGCCTGTAACTAAGAGAGAGAAGGAAATAGGAGAAAAAAAGAAGAGAAAAAGGACGCTTGAGAAGTTCTGAGCTTTCTCTCCTGATGCTGGCCTCAGCCATGGAGGAACTGTTAAAGCCCCATAAAGCACACTCTGAGGTAGAACTCATTTTGTCTTTCTTTTGTTCTTTTTACAAGAACAGCCTGCCATAACTCCTGTGTGTTCTGTTCCACTACAGTTTTATCTGCTATCATCTACCAGTTAAAATAACATGGGCCACATCAGCTTACAGTAGGGAGTGGAGGGAGAGGGAAATGGTGATTTGAAATGCAAATTGTAGCCTAGCTTTCTACTAGTTTGTATTAACTGAACCAAGGTCCACACTGTAAGCTTTTTCCACAGTAAACTGGGGTGGAGAGAGTTTCCTCTAAAGAGCTATTTAGAGGTGGACTGTGATCTAGTCACTAAATTGCTGCCTAGAGAAACCTTTGTCTTCCCCCCTCCAAGGTTGTTGGAGGATTTTCAGAAGATTAACCTCCCCAGGATAAAGTTATAATTTGTGAATATCTCATGGCACGTTCCTGATGAGATGCAATTTTGCTGCTCATGACATAGGATGCTTCAAAGCACTGCAAGGCTCTGCAAACCACCCTTGGTTCACGACCCACTGTCTTGTGTTTGTGTGACAGCAAATGTGTACAGTAACGTGCTGTGTCTGTTTCATGAATGTTCCAAATCTGGGTTTAACAATATTTGCTCGGGCACTGAGAAAGTCTGGGAATTTGATCTTGGCATGCACTTGGAGCCAAAAACACAGAGCAGCAAATGGGCATATGAAAGACCTGGCTGAAATTCACTCCTGATATCCCAAGTGTCACTTTGAACATTCTCAGAGATTTTTAGAATCCCAGTAGATTCAGTTGTGCCAGTGTATCTGAATATAATGAGGTGGACCTGTCAGCAGCAAGTCCCAGTTGGCATATTAATCCATTAGCTTAACAAATGCAATGCTTTAAAATAGTTTTGTCTTTGTATTATAGATTTTTGTGATTTAAACTTTGAATTAACACCTACTGCAGTATCTGTCTTAATAGCCTGTGTCCCATTACACATATCTGTGAGCATGCTTTGGAATGCAAATAGATTACTGTTACTGGAGGGATATTTTAACTACCATCATTCAGTAAAACACGTTCACTAAGTAGGAAACAATGTCTAATTTCTCAGTGCTCTAGCAAAGTTTCCTCAGTTGTTCCATAAGATAACAAAGATATCCAGAGCATGTGTGTACTCTCACATTTTGTTTGCTCAAGTACCATATTGCACTTAAGTGGGGCTTCAATCCACAGTAAACTCTTAAAAGCTTCCATTTTTACATTATGCTTAAAATAAAGGCAATAATATATGGTAGCAGATGCCAAATTCAGCCTCCTAAACCAACAGTGACTAGTTAATAGCTTCCTGATCCATCACTGCTGCATGTTTCTTGCTTTGCAGGTAAACTATTCTGTCACTCTTGAGACTGATATATCTTTTTTTTTTTTAATCACTTGTGTTCAGATCAGTGTCAGCTGTGTACAAAACTTGTTCAGATTAAGACTTCATTATGAATTAGAAATGGCTCAGATTCCTTTTAGAGATTGTCTTAAAACAACTCTGATAGGCTTGGACAATTTTTGATTATGCTTCAGAGCCAGCTGCTGACTGCAGGATGAAATCAAAACTACCTCACAACTCACAGTTTTATTTGTCTTTAGGCTTGAATCCAGTGCACAGTCCGGAAGGGCTGAACTCTCCACGCCAAGGTTTGCTCACCTCTTTTGGACCTGTAGAATAGTAGAGTGCAAAGAAATGGCCTCTGTTGATCTTTGCTGCCTCCCCAAAACTTTTGATTCTGCTCTTTTTCCTTTTTTTTTTACTTTAAGATAACAACAACAAAGACTTCTCAAAAAGCCCCTAGCCCACTACAACTACTAACAACAGTACTGGTAGACAACCCATTTGTTCATTTGGTTAAATTAAGCCTGTGAACAATGAAAACAAAGGTATTTAAGGTATTGCCTCTCTCATTGACACCTTTGTGTGCCTTCAGCTGCCCTCCTGGGCACCACAGCCTTGCTGGAGAATATGCAGTTCTCCTGTTGACCACAGCAGCGGCCCTTGGTAAATGCTCAAGTTCTGCAAGGCAGTTCATCAACCTCCTCCTTGAGCAGAGGAAGAATCTCATGGAGAGACAAGTGACATCAGCTTGTAAGGCCATCCTCTAAGCCTTTCTTCAACTGTGCGGAGTGCAGGATATGCCTGAGAAGTGAAGGGACATATGGATGGGGACATGGTGTTGGATGGACTCCAGACACAGCTTCAGCATCATATTCCACAGTCAAGACCCAAGAGGTTGCCCAAATTGGGATAGAAGGGTCTTTCTTCACCCAAAGGCTGGATAGTTGCATCATAGAACTTGCACTGTGATAGCTTGGTGATGTTTCATCAGATAAGAATAGAAAATAAAGTTCTCATTTTTCACATCAGAGTGGAAAAGTGTGAATTCTATCAGAACACATACCAACCAAAAATTAACTGAACAGTCTCATTTCTGTGCCTGTCACTACTGTATCATCAGCTATTTTCATTCATTCTGAGTGTTATTTTAATCTTACAATACCTCTCTGTATAATTCAGTTGAGATATTCCAGTTTGCATTTGCCCTAATGCTTTCCTTCTTCCTTCATTCCTCTCTGAAATCAAGCGCTGCAGTCCATGGACATGTTGATAGTTTTGCATGAATTAAGAGGAATTGGAAGTGGCTGACAAAGATTAATCTATTATTATTAAACAAACTGTGTGTCCAAGTTGCTCTTCTGAAAAGAAAATTAAAAGAATGAATTGAATAAAATGTGTTTGAAATCTATGATTTAGAATATATTTTGTTTCTCAATTTACAATACATAATTTTAAGAATCAAGGCTGCTGTCTTGAGGTGGAAATTCTTGCTCTAAATTGTAAGCAGGGCTGCTTAATATGCTGACAGGAAGTGAAAATGGATGTTTCCAGCACTGGGACAAGCATAAGTCCAAAGCTGCTCATTTAACAGATAGGGGCTAACTTTTATTTAGTTCCTTTTGCCTTAAAAACAAAAATATGAATCATCTTGGTAACAAAATATGAAGATACATGACATAAACATACCTGCTATTTTCTTACATATTTCTTCTGACAAAACCCTAAAATGCTGAAATCTAATTAAGCAAAGAAATGCCACCTAATCTTTTTGAAGCAATGCATTGTATAATGTGTGGCTAGTATATCATATAGGGCTTGTACTCCTTTCATTTGCATGTCCTCCTATTTCACAACCATATTTCCCTTAACACTTCAGGCTTCCCTGTACATTCTGTTTCGCTTTGGACTTGCCTGGTCTGTGGTAATAACCCCAGGCAAAGAGCACAAGGGCGGCCGGCTGCCAGCAGCAGGGGCCTGGCGCTGACTAGGCAAGGATTTGCATGGCACATGCCAGCTCAAACACGGACATTTCCTTTTTCTGTTTTCCTGCCTTTAGGGGCCAGCCAACCAAAGATGAAATTTCTCCATTCCTGGAACATCTGGCTTAGGCTCTCAATGCTCATAATTATCCTCCCATTCCCAGCTCTCTGCAGGTGCAGGGAAGTGCAGGGCAGGTTCTCTGAGAACACAGCTCTACAGTGGATAAGTTAATCTATAAATCTTCAGTAAACACATGCCATATGATTTAACATACATTTATGTTTTTATAATTTATGCAGAGACAGGGTCTTACTGATAAAACACCCGTTGGAATAATATTACATTATAAGGTTATGAAACCTAGGGCAAAATGTCCAACTCTTAGTAAATGCAGGGCTTTGTATTGCAATAATAATCTGCATGCCAGCATCTTGTACTAACGTATCACGTATGCCTTTACCATCTATCCCTGTAAAACTCATTCACCTTTTACCCTTTCTCTCAACACAGGCTTTCACTTCTCAGGCACTTACTTCTCTTCATCCACTGCTCCTCCCTCACAAGTTGATCGCTTGCTGTCCTCAGCTTGCACAGTAACCCCAGGAAAATCTTCCCATGTGTTCCCTAACAGCTGTTGTACTCCACATTGGGTCTTAGACAGGCTCTGACCTGCGAATGTCGTTGGAGCTGTGACCCATCCCTTGTTCAGCTCAGCACAGCTTGCCTAAGTAGATGGTGAGTAATGGCATTCAATGCCTATTTATCTTTCTGTGCCTCTCTCCATATGGTTCCTATATTAGACCTTGAAACAAATTGAAGGAGTTAGTGTGACTAGGAAATTAATTTCATTAAACTCCACAAAGTTGCTGATAAAAATTCTTGTGTTCTTGTACCGGTTTGAAAGGCTGTGTGAGTCGGTTCAGATTTGAGATGAAAATATGCAGCTTCCTTGATTTTACTGGGATTAAACCCACCTCTACCATGGTGGGTGAGCCTGCAAGCCACTTGAGTATATGTGTAAGTTTCTCAGTTTTCCACTAAAATCATCTCATGACAGGTGTGAGATCTTGCAGCACTAATATCTGTACATGTACATTATACAGTATCTGTAAACATCCTGACACTAAACAGGAGTATGTGATCTTAGAAATGGATGTCACTTGCTCCTTTTGGTGGTGGTAGGGGAGATAGATAGTATTTAAACATATGAAACAACCTGATATTAAAATGGTAGTGTTTCAATCATCTTAGATTTAATTATATTCTCTTTGTGCTTTCAAGCACTGATTTGTGCTTTTAAGCACTGATTTAACTGATTAAAAATGTCAAGACTTCAGGATTTAGAACAGCATTCTTGAAAGGAGCCTGTAGGGGCTGACGATTCTAACTGTCAGTGTAAGACACAGCTTTCAGTGAGACTTAAATTCAAAACTCAGAAATATTTTACAGATATTCTTGATTTATTTGTTTCTCAGTGAGACACTTGGGACCAAATCCCCAAGAGGGAGCTACAACATGAGGGAAACGCAAAGCTCAAGAGACAGCAAAGAAAAATATCTTGCAGCAGCCTAGTGAAGAAGGACTATACCTGGGAAGAAGAAAAAAGGGGAAAGCAAGCCTCAGCTTCTTGTACCTTCTTCAGGGTTGGCTTATGGATTTTACATTTAAAAGTCACAGAACAAAAGGCACTATCAACTGGGTTTAATTTCCTTTTCTGACTGCAGACCTCTCTCACACCTCCACATATCCTGCCTTAATCACTACTCTGTAGTAAAAGCCATGAGGAGGCCATTAATCCCTTTCCCACACTGACCTGAAATGGGGCAAATTTACAGGAAACAATTAAGGATTTTTTGTTTTGAAAGACAGCATGATTACCTATAAAACACTGACACGTGCACTGTACGCCACCAGAAAAAAAAAAAGAAAAAATTGCCTTAATCATTGATGTGTGGCTAGAAGTCTTTTCTAAGGCAAGAGAAAATAAGAGAGATCTTTCCCCCTTGAGAAGAGGCTCACACAGTCTTGAACCATGTACAGCTCTTGAGCAGGTCAACGAGAATTTGTAGGGGCATCTTGTTTGTGTAGTTAGTTCTGGTGTCATGAGTTGATGCAGCATACAGCATACGGCATACAGCACACACCACTTGATACCTATTGTGGCTTCCAGACATATGAAAGTTTAGGTGCGCAGCTCTCATAGACAAAGAGGCTGGCAACCCAAAAAAGTAGGCATACTCATGAAGGAGACACCTGTCACCGCTCCACTGGTTGCTTTAGGTATTTTAAATACGTTTTTATCTTTTATTCAATATTTACATTATAAATCTTATCTAAACCAGCCCCCAGAATAGAGGCTGTGCTCCAGGTGTGTCTGCCCCTCAGAGACTATTCCTGCCACAAGGCTGCAGAATCATGCTCGTTTCTTCCCTTTTTACCACAAGTATTTTTTTATTTATATATGCAAAGTGAAACACATTCAGCAACAAAGTTTGCAAGATTAACAAAATATTCCTCAGCCAGGAATTTAAGGCACTCTGTTGAAGAATGAGAAGAATTTGCAACCAAGCACTCCACATTTTGTGGTGATTTTGGGAACCTGCTGTATGCGCCTACCACATGCCTCTGCAATCAGTTCCTCAGGCGATACAGGTAGAGGAACTGTGCTTGTGGATCCTGCCAGCATGAATTAGACATGGAGAATTCAGCTCTGCTGACACTGCAAGACTCCTAGACATGCCCCAAAGTAAAACATTAGGCACCTGGTTTAACACTGGGAGCAGAAGACTGTAGGAATAGCTGAAGAATTTTTCCATGCAGGCTCCTTAAGATGAGCAATGGCTTTGAAAATCCCATTAAATACTTACTTGCATCTTCAGATACTTACATAGTTGCAACAATTTTATTCCTGATCAATAACCTGTGTTTCTTGCATGCTATTTCAAGACTCCACATTACATTTTTCCACTCTAAAACCAGCTTCCTAATGTGACTCAGGGAGAGAGTTGTTAGTAAGTCATTAATGACACTGTGACTTTGATTGTTTGCATTACTTGTCAAGGGAGAATTACTTCAGTGAAATGATTTATTTTTTTTTTTTGCTGATCAGTAAGACGAATATTCATTTGTAGCATCCCTTTACTCTCAGAGATTTGGCCATTTTGCTTGGAATACACTAACCAAAATTTTTTTCCAGCCTACATTTCTGTTTCTCAGCTATTCAAGCAGAAATGCATTGTTGTTTGTCTTACTAGGAAAAGATGCTTTAAAATATCCATCACATTTCTGTGGGTGCCTTGTTAAGAGTGTGCATACACACTTATAAGTCACAAAAACACAAAAAAGGCATAAAACTTAGTATACATACAGAACTGTATTAAAATAATAGCTGTTTGCTAACATTTTGTGTAGTGTGAGCTCTCTGACACAAGACAAAATGGAACTGGCACCAAAGACAGTATGCATGTTAGTAAATGCTGTGATTTTTTAGCATCATCTCCTAGGACAGTCACAAAACAGGTTATGTTAGAGAGGCAAGCTGAGCACCAGCATTGAAATTCCTGTTTGATGGACTTGTGCCTTTCTTGTGTCTTATGCAAATTATTTTTAAGCATCTGGCAATAAATAAATAAATAAATAAACAATATAAAGAAAACAAATAAAGAGAAATATCAAGAGAATCTTGGTCTTTAGAGGCCAAGCAGCTGGATAGTACAGTGAAAATAAAGCCTACGGGAAGTAGGGCCCCATCTCACAAACGTTTACGTATCCATTTAAATTTGTTAAGTGAGCAGTTTGCGAACGTAAAATCAGGAATACTTAAGAATACCTGTATATTCATTAAAAAAAAAAGTACAGTGGAAGAGTTAACCTTGCCCTGGCTATCAGAAAACTGACCACCATTTGAAGCATAAAATAAAGAGGGCCCTATTCGATTTGAAACAAACAGCCAGTGTTCTTGCAATTATTGCATTTAAAAGGAGTTAAATAGTTGCCTTCAAAACCAGTACTTCAGGTAGCTTCAAAACTATAACATACAGCATTTCTTCTGTTATTTTTTTACCTGAGCCTACCTGCATGAGAGAGACAATTCTATGGCATAATTATCTAATGTTAGCAAAAATTAGCAAACCAGATTTCTGGGCCTATCATTCTAGTATTAATATTTCCAATTACCATCTGAAAAATTAAAAAACAAAATAAATGCTTGTGATCATGTCACTATATAACATTTCTTTCAAAAATAACAAGACTCTGCTAAAAATACTTGTGTTCTACCTCCCAAAAGAAGCAATACTCAGAACAGCACCTTGGAGAGCCAGCTCAGGTGGACAAGGTTTGGTGCATGTCAGTGGGAATGGACCTTTCTCTGCCAAACCCTGTGAGGAGACAGGGTTGTGCTCCAGGCCCTAAAAAGGGAAGCTGAGCGTTTCTGACGGATTTCTGCATACTTTAGTATACCTCATTTTCTTATAGCTCTACTTGCTCTATGACTTTTTTTCTATATAAAATGCAAACATGCCTTGTTCCAGAACAATATGTTTTTGTTTTTTTTATATACATAGGCATAAGCACAGGAGATTAATTTTTCTGTAACTAGCATCAAGTTCAATGTGGCAGTAAAAGCCCATGCAAAATGCGAATTCTCAGTTGTGGTAAAATATTATCACTCTTTGAAAACTAGTTTTCCTTCATGGGCATCATTGAATGCATTGTACTTTTAATAGCTGTTAAAATCGTGTGTCAATGATGAACATCCTGTGACTACTGTGCAGTTAGAACTAGGTGGAAGTTTGTATCTAAAATAAGGAAGAAATCCCTGAACATATTACCCCAAACTTATAAGCAGCTCCCTGGGGCCAGGTTGCATTACCTTCAATGGGAATGCTCCTAAGCACAATATCCCATACATGTGTATGAACAAAAGATACTTAGACAAAAAGTAATATACAAAAGCCACAATATATACCCTACAAAAGGGTGCCCCACATTCTTTCCTTCCCCAAATCAGAATTTTACTCTTTCATTATAGCATGACCATTGTAGTCAGCCAAAATTAATACATTCATTTCTGAATAATATTTACATTGAAATATAAAGTCTGTACTTTCTTAATGCCTCTAGTGAAAGTATAATAGATTTTCAAAGACTGAAAAGCTCACTTCTAGACTTCAGCAAAATCTGAATCGCAGCCCACTCTGTACAATGCATGAGTATTGCAATCGTTTTCCGAACATAGTAATTGTAATTCTAAGAATTTCCACAATGAAAGGCAATGCAAATTTTCATGAACGAATAAATTTGATGAAGGTATTTGTCATCAAATGGATGCTCTCCAATATAGGACTTCATTTTCGTTCATTACATACCTCAGTCATCCTATTATGAAGAAAACCTTGAAAATGTGAATTAAATGAAGCAGATGCAGTGTGGGTGTTCTGAGCATGCCTGCATTCAACCTCAAAATAACTCTATTTACTATTTCCCCTGCTAAAAATGAAATAAAAATTAATCTAATTCATATGGTAAATATGTTTCAATGCTACATTCACTATCAAAATCTTTGACCGGTGAGATGACCCATGATAAAATCTTTTACAATGTAATAATCTGGATGCTTGCTGAGTTACATGAAAAATTTATGGTTTTCAAAACTTTAAATTGCATTTCATGTGATATGCTTTGTGAAATGCCACTGAAGTCAGAAAAGTAAGCACATTTTTAAGTGTTCCAGTAGATAAACATCTATAAATTTGTCATGCAACCTACTGGTCATCACCTAAAGTTCTGAGAATTTACATGACCTAAACAGGCGATGTGAATTATTCATTAATGTTTGTAAAAAAATTTGAGATGCTAACAGATAAAAGTGTCAATAAAGTCCAGGACATTACCATCACGTAGGGGTTTTAATCACAGTGTATTTCACAATTAGGCAAACTTTATTCAGTGCACTAATATTCAGTGGAATTATAAAAATTGATAAAGAATTATCCTTACAAGTTGACCAAGATTGTAAGAATGTGAGAAAAGTCTAATTACAAGAAAGAAAATTTAATTACAAGAAAATTCCAAGAAAATTTAATTACAAGACCAAGAGTGATACAAGTGAAACTGGATGAGCAAGTCCTAGGGACAGCCTCTGTTTTTCCTTCCCCCATGGCACTCTTCAGTATGACATAGTGTGGAATTTACTTGGTTTACTCTACGGCTTCTTTACCCCCAGAAAAGCCTCCTCTCACTTCAGCTTAATCACAGCATTTCTGCACGATCTGGGACTTTCATTTTATTGTACTACTTTTGGGAGGACAGGCCATGTAACCTCTTATGGAATACAGCCCTATACATGTTTATTGTGGTTTCCCAGGCCAGCTGTGGCCCTCTTACTGCAACCACAAACCAGCAGTGGTATGAGAAAAGACCATAGGAAAGTGTGGACAAACCAAACAAATGGTGATTGTCTGATAGCTGGGTTCTGTATGAGCGGTTCCGTTATGAAATCTTTTCTCCTTTCCTTAACAGTCAGGGGAGCCATTGTTTTTCCCCATTTAGACAGAGAATTGTATATTCTGCATGGATGTATTATGAAAAGCCCCTTGAGTGGATTAGATAAGAGTACAACCTACTGGACAGAGTAATGAATAAAAGGCTTTTAATCTTCTCCAGTAATTTACTATTTAACTTTGGAGAAAAGACAGGTTGCTTTACCTAGAAATGACAGCAGAGCTGGTGACTACTAAGCATGAAGTGATTCTGAGAGACAATTACATCTTGGGGAACAGTCAACTGCCCCAAAACCTCCTTACATGTCTCACTCTTTGTTATCTCGCACAAACTGCTTTTTTCCCCCCCCCCCCAAGGTAAATCTATTTTAATATTCCTATTTAGTGAGATGTTCACCTTTATTTTCTTCCAGACCTTTCTGTGATGGCAACCATTAAACTTCCTTGGTTTGTCTCCTTTGAATTCCCTAAGAAATTTCTACCATTAATATGTAAGGTTGCTCTTCAGATGGAAAACAGAGTGGTATTCCTAGGTTTTCACTACAGCACGATCTTGTGCAAGTAGTGGTTTCTTTGGTGAATGGCTGATATTGTTCCAGCATGGTTA